TAGTTCTGAGGTGAAATTCACACATAGACTTTCCTATTTGAAACGCATCTCTTTCGGTCGCACTCAGAGACGTGGATTAAAATAAGGCTTCTCTTAGTCACGTGTCGTCTAAAGCTAGGTGCATATATACGGTTCGTGATTCGGTTTTCTGATCAGGAATTCAGAATTGGATTTCCGTGAGCCTTGCGCAGACTTTTCTTTTTTTTATTAGATAGTTTCCGAACCAAACGTTCTTTTTCCATTCTGAAAAAATAAGAAAACTTTGCGCCTTTGCCAACTTTGAATATTTTGTATGTAAGGTGCATTCAGGTCTCCGAATCCGAACTTCTGACCACGAAACCGTACATATGCGCCCAGCCTTATTCTGCAGTATATAATGTAAATTTATCAAGCCAGATCAATTACTATATATTGTTAACAATTGTAGCAAACAAGAGATTTATTCTGATGGTCTATCTGGTATTTTTTTTGATTTTTACCTAGTGTAGTAGAACGTTAATCATGTTAAATTTGCATGTATGTATACTATGCCTAAATTAAATTGCTCAGTCATAAAATATATTTTTTACAATCAGATAGTTTCTAGATATAAATCTACAACAAGAAAACAGGTCTTCGAACTTGTTAATTATGTTTGCATTATTTTATTTTGTTTCGACGAATACCAGCTTATAAATAACACCATAAAATTTATTACTTACAGAAATATAAACAAAATTCAATATTATAGATAGAAGAGACAGAAATATATTTATATAATTTTAAACAATTCCTATAATGTATGAGGGAGTACAACATAGGGGTTCATTTATTTTTTTATTTTTTGTATTGTCTGAAAATATACTATAAATAACACTATGTACACTGGTAGTATAAAACAACAACCTACACTGGTCAATAAAACTGGCGTAAGAAACTCCGAAACACACTTACAAAAAAAAACTCTTTTCCTTGTTAATTAACTTATCAAGAATGCCGTATCTTGAAGCAAAAATAGAAAGCCAGTTGATATTCTTCTGCGAATAAAAACTTCTTTTTTTACTTCTCGTGTAAAGTCACAGGACGTACCTATCACGGACAGGATACACTATGTCTATATCGTAAGTGAAAAGCTCGTTGGCGCGGGTGGTTAGCGCGTTAGGCTGCGATCGTTGAAGTTAAACAACTTTCGTAGTGGTCGGTCATTGGATGGGTGACCCAAAATCTTCTATCTCGAGTTCCTCCGTGCTTCAGAAGGCACGTTAAGCCGTTGGTCTTGGCTGCATCTGCAGTCGTTAGCACCCGCCAATCCGCAATGGGCCCACATAGTGGGTCATGTCCCAATCTCCCTATTCCATCCATAGGGAAGGCCTGTACCCCAGCAGTGGGGATATTAATAGGCTGATGACGATATCGTAAGCAATACAAAACTTTTTTCTCAATACTTAATTCGTCCTTTTTCAAATTGTGTGAAAATCTTCATTTCAAAGTGTCGACTAAAAATAACAACTACGCATCATAACAATAACTGCATCATCCGAAAAAACCGACACCACCTTGGCACAAATATTATTTTAATAATGTTTAAATAGTTTTTAACGCTATCCGTCGCCTTGGCGGCGCTAATAAGTTTGTGTGCGAGCAATATTTGTGCATTGTTCAATGAATAGAGCTGAAATGACGACCATGAAAAAAGAAAGCTCCTAGTGGTTTTTGTCAAATCAGTGCCACCCAGGGAACTTATATACTAACTGGAATGCTTACGCGACCAGGGTTACCAGATGAAAAAATCAAAAGTCCGGAGAAAAGGCTTGACTTCCATTGAAAAATCCTGAGATTTTTAGTTTGAGAATTTTCTCTCAAACGTTAAGTATATTTTAGAAAAGTCGTAATATTATCGTTTATGTACATGTTGCTTATACTTTTACTTCAATATAATTTGAAGAGCTTAACATGTGGGTCATTTTATAAATCCGTAATTAAAGAAAAAACCTTACTTAAAAATTTATCATCACATATTAAGTATGATAAAGCTGATCAAGTACCTACTTGGATAAATAAGTACTGATTTTAACTGTGCAATTATTATCAAAGGAGGATTATTTTTAGTTTGTTTAAGTTTAAAACGTTAGCTGTATTTTATTGAAAATTCAAAAATCCTGAGATTTCAAAAGATTTACAAAATCCAGCCGTAATCCTGAGAAGACTCCAAAAATCCTGAAATCTCAGGACAAATCCTGAGATATGGTAACCCTGTACGCGACCCTCAAAATCGTTCCAAGAGCATAGCTGAATTGGTAGAATCTGTCTCGTTTTAGTAGTGTGCCCAAACAGTTGCAAGAGAGGGACAGATTCCACTTTCGTCGTTGTCGCGCTAGGAGTATTTTTCCCCCTTATGGAGGTAGAAACAAAAATGGACTTTATGTATAACACGTTAGAGTATATAATTTTAAAGCATGTAACTGCTTGATGTTTAAATCTAAAGAAAATATAACTAGAAAAAATTCCACGCGGACCAGGCAGCAGACGGGACCGCGTGGATTTTTTTCTAGTTATATTTTCTTTAGATTTAAACATCAAGCAGTTACATGCTTTAAAATAATAAAAATTATAACTATAATTGCTATTTCTTCTTTCAAATGTTTAATACTTGTAAAAGTATTCATTTGACATTGTGGGTTACCTATAATGCGAAGAGATGGCGCTGCCATGCAGCTTAAGAATGGCTAGAAGAATTTCGACGTGGTCCGTGATGGCCGCGGTAGCATAATTGGTCAGTGCATTCGCCCGGATTGCGAAGGGTTCGTGTCCCGTCTGCTGCCTGGTCCGCGTGGAATTTTTTCTAGTTATATTTTCTTTACGTTAGAGTATATTTTTTTTTAATTCCCATATTGTTTCGTAAGCATTCCAGTTAGTATATAAGTTCCTTGGTGCCACTACATGATTTAATTTGAATGTCAAACTTATTTTTTTTAGATAAGTTGTTAAGATAATGGATTTCAGATAAAATAGCAGTCGTGCACATACAAATTCTTTTAAAGACTTGAACCTCATTTAGTAAAAAGTAAACTATAACAAATATTTTTGTCAAGGAGTTTGACAAATAGGTACATAGAGGTACAAGACTTATAGGCTTTTATCATTATTCGATCAAAAGTTACAGGTATTAGTTAATTAATTTATGTTAAAATCTCATATATTGCTGTTAATATGAATAAATTGAATATTATTTATCTCTGGTTTTAGATTCGTAATGCATATTAGCTTTTAAGTAATAATTTTTCTATACTAATTAATCAGATACCTTGTTACCTAGAATAATATAGACTGGGCATGTTTGCATAAATTAATAAAATGTAACATTTTATGCAATTGGTTCATTTTGAAAACCATCAAAAAACGTTACCTTATATTCAAACTCCAATTATGTTTGGTTGAAGCGATCGAATGTTTTAAGAGATCACTTTGGACAGTCTGGACAAAAGATGTTTTTTTTTTCAGTTGGACAAGAGTTTAGTCGAAGTGACATGACCGTTTTAATGAATCCGTATCCGTAACTAATTTAATGATTTTATACTTTTAATAATGAAATAAAAACTAGTCATTTCTAAGATAACATAATTAAATCACGATAAATATTAGCGTAAAAAGTTTCCTTATTATTTATTATGTTTAAAATGTAATAATAGTGATGTAACAGTTCCGATCGATATTTTAACAGTCATACGAGTTATGTTTCTAAAACTTAAAGCAGTTTATAATTGCAATAAAGAATATTTGAATACGGATTTGTATTGTTGTTTGTTTCATAGATGCCGCGTTTTTAAATAATGTTATTTTTTTAAAAGCTCGTCTTTTGGCCCTAAAGTCCTATGCGATGGGATCAGAAGTCAAAAGTAAATTTGTTATAAGCGCGTTTTTGTTTATGGTATAATTAGCGGATATCGTTTTGTTTCTGCAACTGGACTATTAGTGAAATCATTAAAGTAGTCTAATTCGGTCAAGTAGAAGTGAGAAGCTTATTGTACTAATGATTAAGTACTTCATTCACTTACTTAAAAAGGAAACTGACCAGATACATTTGGTGCTTTTACAGCTTTGAAATATTTGATTCCTTGTGTTGGGGTAGTTCTTCAAACCCATTGCTCATTAGATGATTAAACAATAGATTTAGTCATAAATAATTGCTCCAATTATATTGTATACTTATTATTTTCCTCAAGAAGGCACATGTGGGCAGTTGTTTATGTAATTAGCCATTCAAGAAGACTTAATTAACATAAGTAAATTGTGAAGTTTTTTTGCGATATCCAAATCGGCAAGGCGAACAGGAAATTATTTTGACACCATAAAAAGATTAGTTTGGTTGCAAATGATATTATTATGTTTAATTTGGAACAAGTATCTGGTAAATACATATTGCTGCCACAAATAAGAGACATATTTAAAAGAAGAAATGTATCTATATCAAAATTTGATAAGATAATTTTTATTTATGAATGGTAATGAAAAGTTATACAGCATTTTAAATTAAATTAATTCTATATGTATTATAAATATGTTTGCAATGTTCAAATTTAATTTTTGTTTTGTCTTCTTAATGTTATTCATATTTAGAAAAGCAAAGATCACGCATCAATGGTCATATAAGCAGTTTCTTCATTCACAATATTTTCTTTGAAAAGATGCAAATCACTTAAACAAAGAAACATCAGACTTGACAATTCATAAGGAGTGCTTAATTAAACAGGTATGTATTAAGATACTGATTCCATACTATAATTATATTGAACTTATAACCGCGTTCGGTATTGTCCTACATTTGGTAACGAGAAGGATTTGCAGTCTACACTTTAAAAGCAAGGACATACTTATAAAGGTTTATCGGAAGATGAAATAAAAAGCATATAATCACAAATTTAGTAGTTGTCTTCATGTTTTTGGTATGATGTAATTTGTACAAAAAGAATTTCAAAATTTTAATAAGTGTCCTTAGGTTTAAAAAACAAACAAAAACTTACATATCCGTGGATCCCATGATGGCACAGTCAGTCGTAAACAAATCACACAATAAACATTTAAAAACCAACAAATTTCAAAATAGTAGAGAACACGACTAGTTTCCGATTCAGCGCTAAACGTTCAGCCGCTGCTGTTCGAATATTTCGGTTATCGTATAATTTCGCGTACGGTTGCGGAGCCGAAACGCGGGCGCGTGCCGTTCGAGGCGGCCGATCTCCGTCGTCTGAAGCGGAGTCGATGGGATTGGCGAGCTTCCCGCCGAGAGAAAGTTGCCAAGTTATCAAACCTCGCGGTTACGTTTGGTGATGACGACGTCTTCCTCGGATGCCGATTGCGTATTCGATGACAAAATTTTCGGTTCTGGTGTCCGTGACGGTTGGCGCGGTGCGCTACTGACACGGTCTTTCGCCGCTGAGGCCTACTTTTCCGACACTGAAAGTTGTTTTGAATTGTTGTCAGTGTTTGTTTGGGAGGGGTTGGGTTTCTGCGAGCGAGATGTATTAGTGGTGTAACACTGGCGTGTGGAAGTCAGAGGTTCCTCAATTAGTCTCTATCTATCCCAAACCGGAAGTTTAGGAAATAGAAAATATTTCCCAATCTAAATTTCTTCCGATAGCGGCGATACCGGACTATAATGGAAACGAGGTGATTCTATAATCTATTTAAATGGTCTGAATGACTAAAAACTCTTGTGGCAAACAAATCAAACTCAACATTGGTCATAGGGGTTCATTTATTTCCCAGTGATAAAAAGCTCCTTTTACTTAACATCATTTTATCATTTTCAGGTTCTGTTGTGATTGTTGTAGACGAGACGATGAACTGAGCTGGTCTGTTATGTAGTTGAAGGATTTGAGACAGGTTATTAAAAAGTAATAGGAATTCATTTTGTGACCTGCATTCTGATCATGTAAATTAATCTTACTTTTAATTAATTAATTCATAAAATTTTGTTGAATATGTAACTCATACATGATAAGAATTTTAACCTAGTTTTTTATAAAAGTATAAGGCGTAGCTTATTTTATATTGAATGAACATAAACAAAAGGTAGTATGTGTAAGCGTTGCTGAATAATTTTAATACAAAAGTGTTTTTACAAAGTCTCAATTTTTTGTCAGAGCGGTTAGTAGAAGGGGAGGGAAGGGGTCGAAGAAACCCCTCGACCACACCTTACACACACCGCTGAAAGGTGTACTGACTCGTGACAACGTGACATGAGGTCACACTTTTTGCCGGTGTTCATCCGGCAAAAAGTTCATTTATAAAACTTTATCACGTCAAAAACATAAACTGTTGCAATTGCAACTTAGACAAATTGGGAAAACTCATTATCATTGTTATTAGTTAATGTTAGATATTCTATACTGCTGCTTCCTAGCAGTGAGACTACCTTACGGATTCTTTAACCTATGGGGTTCATACTGATAGAATAGGGAGAAAAGACTATCATCGTCATCATCAGCCTTAATGTCCACACTGCATGGGGCACAGACCTTCTCTATAGATGGAACAGGGAGGCCGAGTCGTACGAAACCCACTACGCGGTCCCAGTGCCGGTTTAACGTGTCTTCCAAACCACGAAGGAGCTCGAGATAATAAGTTTTTGGTCACCCATCCAATAACCGACAATTACGAAAGTTGCTTAACTTTCACAATGGCAGGCTGGTAACCACCTACGCCATTTAACTCCAATGGAAAAGATTATGACCCTAACTATAGAATGCAGATTATGTACTAAAGAATGCAGATGCGCCATCAAATTCCTCAAGTAGTTTCTAAGATGCATGTTTTTCCGATTATGCGATACTGATTTCCTATGAAAGTACCCTTTTTGCTATAAGACGGCTATTGTACTAAACAACGTGTTTTATGTACGTGTAAGCTATAAGTTTAATTATATTGTCTAATGAGTATGACTAACGAATTGTATTCATATGGATTATTCCAAAAGGCTGCAGTTACGAGGAAATCAGCGATGATCACATGAGGGTTTTAGCACGATCCTTTGACTAAGTTCTAACAGGAAATTCGTTTTTATCATCAAATATTCCGATAACCAATTAAAATATCTATTGGATGAGTCTTGCAAAACTTTGAGAATTGATCATTGACCTTACACGCTGGTTATCTTTATAGTATATTACATTTACATATAATCACGATACTTACAGTTTGGTTATATTAAAACGCTGTCGGATCTTGTAGGCTCCATCGTTCCCATTAATCTTTGTTTAACTAATAAATATACCAGTTTGGAGGCTTCTATCTTATAATCATTTTGAAGTCATCTAACAGACCTTATACACTGACAACGCCTGAGCGGGATAAAACCGCTTCTTGAAGAACGAAGCGAGTACAATATATTTTAATCCTACTTAATCTAATATATAAAATTCTCGTGTCACGGTGTGCGTAATTGAACTACTCCGAAACGGCTCAACCGATTTTCGTGAAATTTTATATGCATATTCTAGTAGTTCTGAGAATCGGACTACATCTATTTTTTATTGCCCTAAATTTTATTTGGTAAACTTTTTTTTTGTTTTTTTTTGTGATACATCATATAAAAATACATACAACCCTAAATTTTTACCCTACTACCATCAGCCCCTATTTTTTATGGCGGTACGAAGTTCGCTGGGACGGCTAGTAATATTATAAATATGAAAGTTTGTATGTTTGTATATCTGTTACTCAATCACGTAAACTGAACTACTGAACGGATTTGGATGAAATTATTTATCCATATTGTTTATGACCTATATTGACACAGAATACTTTTTATCCTAAAAAAAGTTAGCTTCATCTGCGTTAACTTTAGTTTTTGGAGAGTCCCGCAGCTCTCAAAAAACTAAAGTTAACGCGAATGAAATCGCGGACCTCCGCTAGTTAATTTAAAACCAATTATTTTGTTACAGTATTTATCGATGCATGTGAATTTTGCAAAAAGTTTATGTTGTTTGTTTATGTAGGTAGGACATATAAACACTTGTTATCTTGCTAAAGTCAAAGTTCATTTCTATAGGTTCAGATCGATACTATGATACGATACGATAGAACTAAAGAAAATAAGTTTGAACAGAAAGTTCTTTACTTTGATTTTTTGTTCTCCTAAAGTACTTCACGGGCATAGTTTTTGAAAAGAAAAACAAAATTAATAGTAGTGTTACTCTGTAGGATATTCAAAAAGAAGCTTGTGTGTAAAGCCTCTTAATCGATGGGTGTAAAATCGCTTGTCAAATGTTACGAGCAAGGCTTTTGACCCGAGAACCGGCCCTTAACTACAACAACAACCTACCTATATTATTCGGTAATGAAGACGTGCATTCAAATCAGGTGATGTAACTTATTCATAAGGTCCCTGACATTAGAGATTTGTTCATTAGGTGTCAATTAAGAAAGCGATGCTGTTAATTAGTTGCGTTGTAGCAAATAAATTGATAATTTTTAAGAAGTAATTTTGGGTAATTTACCAACTCGACACAAGAGACTGGATACTCGTGTGTCCAATTTGGTTAATCTCAAAATTAGTATCACTTATTGTTTCGTCATCTGGATACGCCGATTTTCATGCATGTCCACGCAGTGTCTAAATTAAATAACTTTTTTGTATTCGCCAACAGGACACACTCAGTTTTGTTTTTGCAAAAAAGGCTAATAAAATTAATAAGCGATCGCCTCGCTTATTACTTTTATTAACTTTTTTTTGAAAAATCTGCCTCACTTTTTTATACCAAAAAAAACTCAGCTGATTTGTTGTTTAAATATGTAAACTTAAATGATACCAAGTGACAGTCATCTCGTCCAAAATATGGTGTCATCTAAAAATAAGGTTTACGTCCGAAATCTTAAAACGGCTTAAGAAAACTATCGTTTAAGCAGTCTATAGGTCGGATTGCGTAACCGGGCTTAATATTTATTCGATTGTGTGGCCCCCACTTTCACTTTCGCGAACGGTTAGCAAGAAAAGTCATGTGATGCACTGAACAAGGCGAGGCTGTGAGAATTTTCCGTCCATTCACAGCACTGCAAGATATCAAAAGATATTAGAGTGCTCGAGATGTTTTAAAACTAATAGCCAATTGTTTTACTCCAAGTGGGAAGGTCAAGGTGTCTTGATTTGACACGTCTACATTTGAATTTATGGCTTAATTGCAGAGTACTTTTGTTGAGGTGTTAATTGCGAAAAAATTAAGGTACCTAGTTTTTTTATTCTTTAAACGAATTTCGACAATGAAGGTTTATAAAACGATATATATTATTTTAACAGACAATGGACTATTCGACACATTTATCTCGCAATCGCTAGTTCTTTGTTTTTTTAACTCACTGCAAATTCACTCACTAATTCGATAAAGTAAGTATGTTTCAGTATCAGGTCTTAGGAGATCGATGGCGTAATTGGTTAGCACGTCCTGTCTGTGATCTTGGAATCGCCATCAGATGGGTGACCAAAATTTTCATAGCTCGACCTCCTCCGTGCTCCGTGCAGCACATTAAGCCGTTGGTGCATCTGCAGTCATTGACAACCACCAATGGAAGTGATGTGGAACTGAGAAGACAGGTGATTCAGCAGAAAAGTAGATAAATAAAATAAAATAATATTTCCAACACTCACACCAAAGCCTAGCCCTGGCTTGTGTTATGGCCAACTAGAGTAAAAATTTTACAACTGATTTTTTGTTACCATTGCCACTATTATTTTACCAGTAGGCTTATTTGCTCACTGCATTTGACAGAAAGGAAATGATAATCACCGAGTTATTTAGTGACCTATTACTGCTTCACTGTAAGACCACTAAGAACCTGCAAAGTATCGATGGATATGTCATTTCCTCTTAAGTTACACACTGTAAATGTCAAAAGAGTTAGCAAATAGGTAGTACAGCAGGTTTTAAAAGACTGGAATAATGTAAACTATATAATCTAGTCCAGCACTGGACTGGATTTATGCGTTGGCTTACTGGACTGGAATAATGTGAACCCGCCAGTATTTTTCGCGCCTTGCTTACCCTTAGTGTCACCGCACACGGGCCACCGACCACAACCACAAAACGCCGCCACCGGCATATTTCTTGTAGTTTTCATATATTTTATATGGACTCGCCACACACGGTACGCCGATGGCCGCCACACGCTACAAATCGTCGTTGCTCGCTTCTTGTGGCCCGCACCGGCCACTTAATGCGCCGATACAAAACGCCGCCACACGTCACTCGCGCGATTCCTCATCCCTCTCTTCCTTACCTTAGTCGGCCGCTGTCGCGCGCTTCAGCCACTTATGTAGCCGCTTCTAGCTTCTCGTGGCGGCGTTTGTGGCTGTGGCGTGTGGCCGGTGTGCGGCGACACTAAAGAGTAACAATGCTTTATTGACTGATATTTTGTTAGTTCAATCTTAAAATAAAAGGTAACTGTATCATTTACAAGCGATTATAGTCTAAAAATGGCGGACAACCGACTACCTCATATGTAGCTCGTA